TTAAAAAAATTTTTTTTTTTTTTTTTTTTTTTTTTTTTTAAATAAGGACAAAGGAGTTTTAACAACTATATTATTAAGTATATCTACTTTAAATTTAAATTATGAAATTTATTACTATTTATTAAAAAAATATATATATAAAAATTATGAACATTTTGAAATTAAATACTTATGCAATATTTCATATTCCATTGTTCTAAGACTAGCTAATAATTCTATAAAAGATGATTTATTAAATATTATATTAAATGATATTATAACATTGTTGTTAAATAATTTACATAAGTTAAAAAATGAAGAATTAAAGCAAGTAGGAAAAAAAAATAAAAGAAAAAAAAAGAAAATTTTTTAAATGAAGAATAAAAATAAATATATTTATAAGCTTATATATACATTAAATATACTTTTGAATTTTATATATGCATTTATAATTAAAATTTATAAAAAAAATAATTTCAGATACATATAGTATTATACTATTTAAGGGATGAAAAAGAAAAATATGAAAATGCTATAAAAAAAATTGAAAAAAAGAATATTAAAAACACTGTAACAATTTCAAAAATGCAACAACAAATTGAAAAAATTTTCAAAGAAATTGGTATATACGTACAAAAAGAATATAAAATTGGACCATATATATTAGACTTTGCTTTAAAAAAAAAAAAAGTAAAAAATATAAATATATATATATATATATGTAATAATAATATTTTTTTAAAATTATAAATTTTTATTTTATATAGATTTGTATAGAAGTAAACGGGTTTACACATTATTATATTTTTACTAGTACTTTAAATGCGAAAACTAAATTGAAATATTTTATTTTAAATAAACTAAATTGGAATGTATAAATTCAAAAAATAAATTAATTTATAATTATATAAACATACTTTTAATAATTATTTTCTTAACATATATATATATATATCTATATATTTATGTATATTTTTTTTTAGTTATGACATTTTCATCATATGAAAATATATAAATAAATTTTTTTTTTTTTTTTTTAAATAGGTTGTTACTATTGAATATATGGATTGGAAAAACAAATCAAAAGAAGTTAAATTTTAAAAAATGAAAATAAATATTATATAAATTCTATTTAATGTTGACATTTCTTGAAAATATATCATTTAATGTGTATATATATATATATACTTTTTTTTTTTTTT